CCTACTGGGCCTAACCATTTTACCCATGCCAGACGAAGCCCAAGGACACGGGCAAATTAGCCAACAATAGAGCCATACCAGACTCTACAAGTAGTGAGGAGAAACTCTCTGTGCTACACCTTAATACCCAATCCATCCGAGACATCACAGATGAACTGGAAGCATTTATCGTGGATAAAGCCATTGGTATAATGTGTGTAACTGAGCATTTTTTGAAGGATGATGAAATAAACTCTCTGAGGATTGGCAACTTGGAAGTGGCAGCATCATTCTGCCGGAAAATGTATACAAGAGGAGGAACAGCAGTCTTACTTGAAAAGGGCAGTAGTTATAAAGAGTTGACAGATCTAAGGGAGCTGAGTGTGGAAAAATGTATTGAAGTTTGTGGAGTAAGATCATATAAATACAACATAGTAATACTATCAGTATATAGATCTCCTGGGGGAGATTTTGACATCTTTTTAAACAATCTTGATAAAGTTTTAAATAAATTGGATACACATAATAAGATAGTTCTTGCAGGTGATTTTAATGTGAAATTCTGTACAAATGAAAAAACATGTAGAGAGTTAAATGACATGCTGCAGTCGTATGGATTAGCCCAGACGGTTTTTGAACCTACCCGCGGTAACAACTGCCTGGATAATATTTTTATAAATTTTTCAGAAACTGAATACCTTGCTTGCATTGTAAAGCCAGGCAAATCAGATCACGATGGGCAACTTGTCTCATTAAATTGTCCTCAACAAAGTAATCAAAAATACTCAAAAAAGATTTGTCAGCCCATAACACAGGTAGGAAAAAACACATTCTATCAAAAAATTTCTGAAATTGATTTTAGATTTATAGACTTTCCTACTTCTGTAGAGGTAAAGTTTCAGAACCTTGTGCAGTTAATTGAGTTGGCATATAATGAGTCGTTCCCAAAAAAAACATATAAAGTAAAGGAAAATCAAACAAATAACATTGATTGGTTTAATAATGACCTAAAAAATATGAGAGAACACCTTCAGTACCTAAATGACATCTTTAAACTCCATCCAACAAATCAGCTTAAGGAATATATAAAAAATCTCCAACAAAGCTACAAAAAAGCTATAAAAAAGGCCAAAATTCAGTGCAATGAAACTAAAATAAAAAACTCTTCCAACCCAATTAGATGCATGTGGGAAATAATTAATAAATATCGTGGTAAAACAAAGCCTTCAAAAAATGACCAAACAACATTGACTGCACAAGATTTTAACAATTTTTTTGTAAGCATAGCTGTAGATCTACAGAACAAAATAGAAGAAGAAGATTTAGACCCCATTTTGAATTTACTTAAAATTAATGCAAATAATCAATCCTTTTCCTTTAAGGAACTCTCATTTAACGAAGTACGTGATGTGATTGACCAGCTTAAAAACAAGACAAGCAAGGATATTTTCAACCTTAATATAACCCTAATAAAATCAGTCAAAAATCTCCTAATAACACCTCTTACAAAATTAATAAATCATTGCATTAAAGAGAAAACCTTTCCAAATTGTCTAAAAACAGCGAAAGTAATTCCAATATTTAAAAAAGGAGATCCAAATGATCCAGGCAACTACAGACCGATCTCACTCCTGCCAGTTTTATCGAAGATTCTTGAAAAATGCATAGCTATACAAATATCGAGTTACCTAGAGCAAAATGACCTACTTAGTAATAGTCAGTTTGGCTTTAGGAGGGGCAAGAATACAACTTTAGCAATTTTAAAATTGGTAGAAGGTATAATGGAAGGTTTTGAGAGCTCTCAACACACAGTTACCACCTTCTGTGACCTGAGCAAGGCCTTTGACTGTGTCTCGCACGATATCCTGCTTAAAAAACTGCCTTTTTACAAATTTTCAAACGACAGTGTGGATCTAATAAAATCCTATCTGACTAAACGAACTCAGATTGTTAACTATAATGACATTAATTCGAGCGAACGAGAAATAAACATAGGCGTACCACAGGGCTCAATTGTGGGTCCTATTCTATTCCTAATCTATATTAATGATCTACCCAAAATAGCGGAGTTCGAAAAGTATGTAAAATTTGCGGACGATACCACAGGTCAAGTTCAGCATCCAGATCTACCAACAGCTGTCTGTATGTCGGGGGAGGCACAGTTGAGGGCTAGGCAATGGTTTGCTGCTAACAAACTCTTTTTGAATGAATCTAAAACCCAAAACTATACTTTTTCTCTAAAAAATATAGAACCCATGACCAACAGTGTAAAATTCTTAGGAGTGCATCTTGACCAAAAACTTCTTTGGGATGCACACACTGAAATAATTTCAAATAAGCTTTGCAAAAACACTTTTTTATTAAGAAATTTGGCAAGATGTGTCTCATCTAGAGTTACAAAACAAACATACTTTTCTTTGCTACACTCACATGTAGGTTATGCTTTGCTAATATGGGGTCATGCAAATGGAGCACAGAGGGTTTTCTCTGTGCAGAGAAGGGCTGTTAGAATAGTGGCTGGTTTGGACTATCGAGATGACTGCAAGCAGGCTTTTATTGACAACAGAATTTTGACATTGCCCTGTGAGTATATCCTGCAAAATCTGGTTTATGTTAGGGACCATTATGATTCATTTATGTGTAATGGTGATTTTCACAGCCATGACACTAGAAACAAAAATAACTTAAGACCCATCTACCATCGTTTACAGAGATGTCAGGGTGGACCTGGATATCATGCTGTAAAACTTTTTAACAAACTACCAGAGCATGTAATACAACTAAATAATTCCGAATTTAAGAAAAAAATTAAAGATTTTCTCATAATTAAGGCGTTTTACAGCCTAGATGAATTTTATAATTCCACACTCAGCTGGACAGGCACAAACATTATTTAAAACAAACAAATAAATTATTTTTCATATTTATTATTATATCAATTATTGTTCTTTACAGTTGCACCAACCAAAAATTGTCTCTAGTCATTGCTATATGCCTTTTTTTTTTTTTAATTTTATTTATTGATTCCAAACTTTTAAATGTCCTTGTCCTGATAATTGTTGTATTAGTGAGTGACAGTAAATTTGTAATTGTTGTTGGTATTTTTAAACATAACTTTTATATTTTTGTAAAGCAGATATTTAAAATCATGTGAAATAGATAGTTAGTCTAATTTTTTAATGAAATTGTAATTTTAGATTACTAAATTGTATTTGATTATTTTGACTTGTGTAAACACTGTACTGTGTATTTTTAAGCACCAATAAACGATTCTGATTCTGATTCTGATAACACTTTGGTTTACAACGGTCATTATTTTATCTTTTTTTTTTAATAATCAAAAGCAAACGGTTGACTTAGCAATTCCGTATTTTTTAGATAGATTTGTTATGTTCATACCTTGCTGGTGATCTTCTATAATTTTAGACTTCTCATAGAGAGTTAACATTTTTTTGACTTTCGACATTTTCACAAAATGGGTTAACCTCACCCTTGACCACACCACAACAAACTAAAAAATCACAAACTTTTCCACGTGCTCTTGACGCGCTCCACTTGTTTATTGCATGTAATAGACTAAATGCAGAAAGTTAACCTCAACATCCCCCTGCATACCTTGTCTCAATACATTCGGGGAACAACAACAAGTGGACAGAAAACGATAAATGCGGGGTTGAATATATTGTTCATACTACCGAGATTCTCAAAAATTCACACTACAGAATACATAATGTTATCATTTTGGCTGTTCATACTACTGGGAGGTTCACAGAACCGTGTGTTCACACTAGCGCGAGTCTACTGTATGTGTAGGTATCATGGAATTTGCAATATTTTTTCAATCTAAACATAATAATAGAAGGAAAGGAACTATTTCTCTTTCCATTAGTGTCAATTTTTGAGTATTCCAGGCTCTTGCTTGAATTTCTGTTTCCTTCCAAATGTCTTTTTATAATAGAATAAGGAACATTTAAGAACATGGAATACATATGTCAATTTTTAACTATTCCAGGCTATTGAATTTTTATTTTTTTTTGAATTTTGACCATTCCAATTGTTAGAAAAAATTCTAACATTATTTCCAAATGGCAATTTTAAAGTGCAAAAAAGTCCAAAAGAAAATCTCAATTTTGGCTCTGGAATTTTTTTTTCAAATTTTGACACTGTTGAGAAAAAGGGCTCATATCTTAATTGAAATTTGAGCAAATAGAAATAAATTATACATCGTCGGAAAGAGCATTGAATTCTCTATGAAACTGTGCTAAATTAGGTCTGAAAGCTTGAATACTTTTTGAGCAATTTAGACTCAAATTTGCATTATTCAATTTGAATTATGCTAAACCCTGTCATAACCCTGTACTTTACACATTTGTTGGATGAGTAAGTATTCTGTTATAACAAAAATACACTGGGAAATACGGAAACCTTATGTTCTTCTCTGTCAAGATAATGTATTATCAAATCAAATGACCTCTTTTAAAAGTCAAAGAATACACATAATAAAATTGCAATGTCAAACAGTTATATGTAGTAATAGATAATAATATTATCTATCATGCAAAATTTTATTAAAAATAGATAAACAAAAAAGAAAAGCAAATTTTGAAAACTATTGCCACACTGTCAAGATGATAAAAACACAGATTTTTATTGTTCATAGAGAGAAAATGTTAGTTTTTGAAAATTTGTCACGAAGAAAAACAAAATATCAATAAAAAATGTACGAAATAATTAAAAACCTATAAAAATGATTGACAATAATTTACAAACAATTATTTTTTGATTCTAAATGTATGTACAATTTTCCAATAATCATTTAACAATAAAATATTAATTACCTAATAACAATTTCCGAAAATTCAATTTTACCTCATTCTAATTTCCATAGTTTATTTATTTAATGACGACTATTTGCTATTAAAACAAGCATGTATATCTTATGTAAACACGACATTAATGGTATATAAAAATAATAGGACAGGGTCACGAAAATTACTTTAAATTTATGTATAGGTACTTACATTTTTGCCAGCAAAAAAAAAAGGTCACTTTTTAAATCCAAATACTATAACTAATCTAAAAAAAAAATTCACAGCCTCTAGATTTTAATTATTATGCACACGAAATTCCTATATTTATTTAATCGCGTTTAAATTATTAATAATTAAGGGTGGGTTCCTATTTATATTGAAATAATTATTATCCCGTTAAAATCCAGGACGCGACTGTGCACTTGTGCCGGCCCGCGCTCCACTTTATGGTGTATACCGGTGGCGCGATTCCGTCCGGCCAATGGCGTGTCGTCTTCGTGCCGAAAATTTCGCGTTCGATATTCGCATGAAAGAAGCGTGAGCGCGCTGGGTTTATCAGCTGATTTGAACCTGCCCACTAATGGGCCCATGTACGAGGGAATATCGAAAAAGAATCTCTGAAATAAGGTTTGTTTTCACATAAATCATAAACCTGTCGGAGCGAAATTTGATTGGTTGAAAATAGGCATAAAAGTGGTTTTTCGGATTTCTGTGAGAACAGGCCTTTAGTCCAATAGGGTAGATTCGCCTATAGTCGGCCCCCACCCGGTAGTCGGCCGTTGTTGCAATTTTATATAAATATTAGGTGATTCCGTCCATAAAATCAAAAACCTTACACATTCCAAAATTCGTTTAATGTATATTCTACCTAATTCATAAAATTTTATCACAGTCCGGCACGCATGGAGGTAAGTAACATCCTGTTTAGCATTCGGTAATCCGTTCGACGACCGACGGTTCGGTTTTTGAAATGTAACACCCGTGGTTGCATGGACGTGCGCTTTATCGAGTGTTACTTTATTAAGCCTATTACCATCTTGTAAATAATTATTTTAGGGCATTGAAATATTAAAATATAAGTGCAAAATGTAATTAATATTGTTATATTAATATAAATTATATACTGTTCGTTCGAATTTAGCAGATAAAAACAATAAAAGAGTGAATATTTTTCGAAAAAAGCAGTTTTAGAGACGTAAATACAAATGCATACTCCAAAAACATTAAAGATAACTTAATTCTGAAACCAGATTTGAATTTGTAATAAAATTCTCTAAAGCTTTTCTTTATTTAACCAACCCTGTAGCTCCAGCCAAATCTGAGATACACTGTATACATACATATACAGGGTGTCCCACTAAGTTCGGCCAGGTAAGATATTATGGAAATCATAGACCTTACGGCTTCGGGATTTTTTTTTCTTCAGACCACGTTTATCTCGGGCCGTTCGATCGGATCTAATGCATCCGATAGAAACTCCATCCGCTTGAAAACAGCGAGATAAACGATGACGCCTGATTTTGTATCGGATGGAAGTCTTTAAATCAATCCTGTTTTTCAATCGGATCGGACTTTCTAATCCGGATCGAAATTTTTCCTTTTACGACAGCAACGCGATTCAAATGAAACTTGGCAAGCTTGTCTAACCTCACTTTTTTAGTGTTATTAACTTGTTTTGTTATGAAGTAAAGTTTTGAAAATATAAGTTTTTTTCCTTTAAATGGATCTTCTTTCCTTGTAAAAATGAGAAACTGCTTTCCCCTTTTCCCTCTCATGGGAGTTTGCCGCAAATTTATTAAAAAATAACATTTTTTTGCTTTGTTTAATTCGGCCGGTCTCTTTCTATTTGAATCCGTTAAGCAAAAAAGGATTTATCGATCGAATAATTCATTTTATGAGAGAAACGGAGATTCACTGGATGGGATCAAGTCGATCGGATCCGGATTTTACGAGATAAACGTACTCTGAATCGGCCAAGAGAAATTGATGGAAATTATTTTCAAGTTTCTAGGATTTCCGGTAGGGGGCGCAATTACGATGATATAACTAAAAATTCAAATTTTCTCAAGAAATCGCTATATTAAGATACTGTTTTGAAAGCATAAATCGAAAGTTCATTAATTTTTGCGTCAGTTTGGTCTTTAAGCTTTTTTCGTATCTTCTGGGGGAAGCTGGTGAAAAAATAGTTCTAAAAATTGCTGTATCTTCTATACCCCTTATCCAAATTCATTCAATTTGGGCTTATTTAAAAGAGAATTTCATTGTTATTAAGAACACCACTTCATTCGGGGTCGATAGTTCCCACCGCATCTTCTAGAGGGCGCTGTTTAACCAAGATCCAGTTTTTTCAAATTTTCTCGAAAAATACAAATAAGCATGATATTATTTTTTTATTGCTGTGCTTGAAAAGCAAAAAAATATCTACATTTTGGCGTAAACCGCAATTCAATATCTGCATTTGCTTTCAAGTTACTTAAGATGGTTTCCATAATATCGTACCTGGCTGACCTTAGTGGGACACCCTGTATATTATGTCGCAAAATAAATTTTACGCTGTTAATCTACATAAGGCCAATACTGTGTACCTATATATATTATTTACATAATTATATACCTTAAAACAAAAAGATAATACTTACATCCAGTTTTCCTTTTGTTTTAATTTTACCAACATACCTATTAAATTATTGCCATAACAGAGCATTGGCTCAATATTGACGAGCCTGTGTTTGTCAAAAACTACACTACAGTATCTAGGTATACTAGAAGTATACTATCTCATGGAGGTACTGTAATAATGTCCACTAATAACAACTTTTCGGCGATAACCAAGTTCGACAATTTATTATCTGAAAAATTATTCGAATTTTCTATAGTCTACAACAATATCTACGACCTCTACATTGTTTGTATTTACAGAACACCTGACGCTGACTTGGTTACATTTTTTCAAAACTTACTAAGCTTGCTTGAGTCTTTCCCTCTTAAGAGTAAATTAATTTTATGTGGCGACTTTAACATAGATTTTTCCAGTGTGTGTGCTGCTCAAGATTCTCTCCAGTCTATACTTGACTCTTTTGGTATGGTCATGCATGTTCAATCTCCAACCCGAATAACTAAAACCAGATCTAGCACTATCGACTACGTCGTGTCATCTTTTGATCCAAGCTTTGTTGACTGTACTGTCTTAAGTTCAGGGTTTTCAGATCATGAAGCAGTACTCACAAACTTTTCTCTAAAGAGCAATACCAGGATTGCCCCACGTAAGTTTCGCCGAATTTATTCGGAAAAAAATTTCCTCAATTTCAAGCGCTCATGTCAAACAATTGACTGGGGTTGCCTCTCTGATGACATCAATAATGCATTTTCAACATTTTCAAATAAATTATCTGGTTTGGCTTTCAAAGCATTTCCCCTCAGGCCTATCAAAAATAAGCAACATAAACCCTGGACTACTAAAGGCTTGAGGACATCGGCAAAGAACATGCGCTCATTGTCACACCTAAAAAAATTTTCAGACAGTCTCTTCTTTCAAAATTACGTTAAACTCTATAGAAAAATTTATCATAAAACTATAAAAGCCGCCAAAGACACCTATTATAACAACCGGTTCGCTAGAACTGAAAATATTGCCAAAGAAACGTGGTCTATTGTCAACGACTTGAGAAATAAGGCTATCTCTTCCAGTATAACCTCTACTTCCCCTGAGAACTTGAATAACTACTTTGTAAATGTGGCAAAAAATTTAATGACCACTATAGCTCCTTCTCGCGATCCGCTTTCATATCTTTCCAGTACCAATATGAATTTACACAGTTTCTTCCTAACACCCGTAGAAACACTAGAGCTTTTCAGCACAATTAAAGACATAAAAAACAAAGTGTCATCTGGGACTGAAGGACTAACTTTAAAAATGTTCTTCAATTTACCGGAGTGTACATTAAATCTCCTCACTGCTTTAATAAATAAATCTTTTCAACAAGGAGTGTTCCCAGATTGCCTCAAGACGGCTATAATTATTCCTCTGCACAAGGGAGGTGATAAGGACCAAGAGTCGAACTATCGTCCAATTGCACTTCTTCCTAGTTTATCCAAAATCATTGAAAGATTGGTTAAGAAAAGGCTTCTATCATTTCTGCATAAATATAATATACTAACTATCCACCAATTTGGATTTTTAACCAACAAATGCACTATTGATGCTATGTTCTCTGTCTTCAATAATGTCTTCTCTAGCTTGAACAATTTGCACTCCACAGCATCAATTTTCTGTGATTTTTCTAAAGCATTCGACTGTGTAAGTCATAATATCCTAATTAACAAATTGCAGCATTATGGAATTCGAGGCTCTCCTCTGGAATGGTTCAAGTCGTATCTTAACAACAGAAAACAGCTTGTGAGGGTTGATACGACGACATCTTCATGCAAGCCAATAGAATGTGGAGTTCCACAGGGTTCCGTGTTGGGTCCAATATTATTTTTGCTGTTTATCAACGATATTGCTAGTCTAGACATCAGCGGTAAAATCTGTCTTTTTGCTGATGATACTAGTTTCACTTGGAGCAACCCGGATATTGTAGCTCTTCATAGAACCATGTCCATCGACTTGTTGGCTATTAAAACATGGTGCGACTCTAACTTCCTCTGCTTCAACGCTGCGAAAACAAAAGTTCTATCATATAGAAGTACGATGCAACCTATTGTACTTAATAACACTACTACTATTGACGTCGTTGATTCCGTAAAGTTTTTGGGCCTTATTATAGACAAATCCCTAAAATGGAATTCGCACATCGATTCTTTATCAAAAAAATTAAGTTCCGCTTGCTTTGCGATAAGATCAGTTTCCAAGGAACTCAACTTGTCAACTTCTAGAACAGTCTACTTTGCCCTTTTCGAATCACATCTTCGATACGCCCTTCCATTCTGGGGTTCGTGCTGTGCGACTCAATTTGACCGTATTTTTAAATTACAAAAGAGAGCTATTAGATATTCCCTAAAATTAAAAAATAGAGCTCATTGCCAAGATTTTTTCAAAAAATATAAAATATTAACACTTCCTTCCCTTTTCATACTAGAATCAGTCTGCCTTATCCGCAAACACCTACCCAGTATTTCAGAAAGGCCATTGCATAACTATCCACTTAGAAACGCGGAGCATGATCTTTATCTGCCAACTCCATCCTCCGAGTTAATTAAGAGCTCCATTCTATACAACGCAAAAAAAATGCACAATCATCTGCCAGTAGTCATCAAGTCCATAGCATCTCTTCCTAAATTTCGCATAGCTCTAAAATCCTATTTATCAGAGAGAGCCTTATATAAAGTAAATGACTTTTTTCTGACTTAATTTTGAGCGTTCCACACACTGGATCATAGTTTATAGGTAATTTGTTCATTTTTGTATTTGTTCATGTTATATTTGTTTATGTTTATA